GAAACCCAAAAGAAAAGTAAAGAATGGGATAGAAATTCAACTTTCCTGGCATTAGTAATTGAGGTTTGTAGGAAGAAATCACCCGACATTGGATATAAGGGTGGCAAGTCTAGATCTTGCAGTGTTCAATGTTTTCGATGCAAAAAGTATGGACATTTTTAGAGGTATTGTTCAACAAAAATGGATGAAAGTAACGAGAAAAAAAATGAGTGTGTTTTCATTACTGACAATGATGATTATTATGTCATTGTAATCTTAGAACATATGGATGCAAATTCTTTTTGGTATTTAAATTTTGATTTGTCACTTATGTATATTATTAAAAGGATTATTTTGATTTACTTTAAGAAGGGTGGCCAAGAATTTGACATTGGGTGATAAGTCAATAGTGAAGGTTATGAGTCCTAGAGTGGTGAGAATCAAAATATTTGATGGAGTTGTGCGTTATTTAGGTGGTATGACCTATATCCCAGAGATGTGTAAGAATCTAATACCATTGAGCTTGTTAGACTTCAAAGGATATGAATATTCTATATGTGATGGAGTGATAAAAGTCACACAAGGTGACACGGTCCAGATGAGGGCAAATTTACATAATGGTTTGTATCGTTTAAAATGTGAGGTCTTGAAGTGATGGGAACAATACACAGGAGATGGTAACCACTAAATTGAGATTTTATTTATCGAGGAGGTGATAAAAGGTTCTCATGGTCTAGACGATTGTGAAAAGATGAAAAATTTTGCCAGTAAATTAGAAGAGTCGTCAAGGTTCCATTCCAAAGTCAGTTAGTGCCATTGACTTGACAAGTACACATGTGCATTGACCGTTTGTGGAATTGAGTATTGGACCATACTTGATTCGACTATGTGTAGTCAAGGTAATTTTGAAGGCCAATGGTTTAGAAAGTCATGTGCTTGGAGAGTTGTTCAAACTAATGGAAAATATTTTAAGTTGAGGAGTTGCAATTTGGTGCAAACGGTAGAAAAAGTTTAAGGAGTTTGAATTCTAGTCAAAGGTGGAGATTAAAACTAGAATTCTAAATCTTATTTGATTAGGATTTATGTTTGTGTACAACATTGAGAAGTCATATGGTTTTAAACATCTTGTTTCATGTTGAGTCTTAATCCTAGTCTACTTTAGACTTTTATATTATCAAAATAGATCTTTATGTTTTCGAAAAGTGAATAGTGCTCTAAGAGCTCTAGAAAGAGAACACCTTTTAACTTTGTCTTTTGCTCTAGATAGAGTTAGAATGATTTGGGTGAGGGTGTGTTCTTAAGAGGCTATTGAGAGAAAATGTAAAAAGGATCTTGGGTTGGTTTGAAAATCATATACGTCTTTGTATTTTAATTTTTCAATAATAGTAAAACTGTTTCACATGTAGGCAAGAGGCCGAGCAACATAAATTCTTATATTTTCTTTTTGCTTAATTTCTCTAAGTTTTATCTATATTATTTCTTGGGCAGTTTTCATAATAGTTTCTAAAGGTCATCTTTCATCTTGAAGAACTTTTTTCAGGTTGTATTCCATATGCTTACCTACTTGAGTTTTTGAGTTGTAGGCGAGCTACTTTTGGGGGATTTTCTATTCTTACCTGATTTTTTAGAGTTTTCCACTTCCTAGACTTTAACGATTGTCTTGTACTTACACATAATCTAATATAATCCCCGTCCCTTTTTTTTTGCTCAATAAATATAATCCCTTTTGCCTTTAAAAATAAATAGCATACCATATCATGAGAACAACATCCACTATCAATTTAAAAGCACCGGAACAATATCAAAAAAGATTGCATCCCCAAGTAAGAATAGAAAAATCACTTTAGCAAACAAGCCTCTTCTTACAAACCAGAAATCACATTATTGAAATTCCCTTCAAATGACCAGACCAGTCCCAAGACAGACATTACAATAATTTTAATGAATAATTTGACTAAAGGATTAAAATAAAAACATATTAAAAGGTTAGAAACCCAAATATAACAATTCCAAAGTTAAAATTAAAATGAAACCAAAATAAAAAATAAGAACAATAGATGAAAATTTACCCTTATAATCATTAAATTAACATAATTAATTATTAAATATAACACTACAAATATATATAAAGACAAATGCTATGGTCAATATTTTAAAAATAATAAGCATAATACTTAAAAAAGACCTTAAACTATTTAAAAATTTTCAAATAAGTCTTTATTTTTTTATTACATTCAATCAAACTTTTATATTTTTTATTTTGATAATGGTTGACTAACTTTATGGTGGCATATTAATAAGTCATAATGAATGATGACATATCATGTTGATATAGCATGTTAACATTTTTATATGGCATTTTCACCATTCACATCAGTATTACATGACATAAAATGACAAGTGACGTTTTGACTAATGATAATTAATCAAGTATTAATCATAAAGGTCTATTTAACTCAAAATAAAAATATAATATCTGACTAAATGTAATAACATAATAAAAACTTATTTAAATTTTTTAAAATAATTCAAGAAGTTTTTCAAGTAATATGTCAAAA